CCGGCAATGGACGCCGGACTCGAGGCGGACACTGTGACTGAGTTTGCCGGAGAAGGTGTGCGGGAGTTCATGGCCGCGAGAATCGTTAGCCGCTCCGATACGTCGCACCCGGCATCACCGTATTTTAAATACCTTTGGAGTATACCCTCCCATATTACAGTTGAAGGCAGCATATGGTATAAGTGGACAAGACACTAAAGCGGCGGCATGGAGATATTGCTGCCGCGAGGGCTGACCGGCAGTGGCGTTGGAAATTAGCCAGACCGCCACATTCTTGCCTTGGGTCCCAAAATCTACGATGATACAGTAGTCTTACTGTGCTGTGGGCGAATCCCTCATTTCTTTGACTGCTTGCTTCAACATCCTGTATTCTACAATGAGAGAATAGTTCGTATCCTCGAGTTGTAAAGTAAGGGTAGCCCAAGGGGTTGCGGACCGATGAGCATGGCAGCCAGCTGAAAAGAACACGGGATATGGCTGATTTTGACAGATAGCGATAGTACGGTAGTCGTCTGCATATCACCGCTAGGGACGAGGATTTAGCGGACGATTACTTAACGAACTAACTGATCCACAACATCATATTCTACTACATCTGTCAAGTTCGTACAGTACCAGTTCGATGGATGGCTCATGCGCGTGCAGGTTAGTAGTGAAAGCCGTACTCCTGTCGAAGTTGGACGATTCCGGGTTACCAGAATTGGTGGTAAATTTGTACCATAACTTGCAATGCTGTGAAAGCCTTGAGCATGAACTTTTCAATATCCGTTATGACTCTGGCTCGACTAGTCAACCGCATGTATAATAACTGCGACTCTGTGTTATGTAGCAGGATTGAGCAAGGACGGTGAAGCCAGTCAGGTTGAGCAACTGCCGCGTTCTCTGGTGACAAGGCACTTCCCTTCGCTAGAGCATCATGGTCCGGGGCGACTACAATTTCGGATAGAATTAACAGCTCCACATTCAAAACTGTCGAATAGTTTAACCTATGACGTATTTAATCGCGTATAGAGCTCTCAACGAACGAAGGACAAGAACACGGAGCACGTCGTGCTCTCATCGCACTTCGTCTCTTATCATGGCCGCATCCACTTGCCAAAAAGCACCATCTGACAAATGATGGGGCATTATATGTGATCAATGACCTTGTCTGAACGGTTGACGATCCCGTTTAAACGGGCCCTTGTTGCTCTTTGCAGCTTCACCACCTCCGACCCCGCTCTGCCACCCCTCCCATTTCCTCCCCAAGGTTGATGAGTGAAGATCTCTTAATCCACGTGCAGAAATTACAATAACTGTAACTCACCTCACGCTGCGGTGTTATCATCAGCCAGATACTATAAATAATATCAATTTCCATGAATAATATATCTGGAAGATATGGAAGACCAGGGACGTATATGCTCTCCAGCCAGCGGCGGTACACGGGTAAAGGTGGTAGACATTTATGAGGGTATTGAGCATTTCAAAAGGGCTCCCTTCGATTAGAATAGATTACAATACAAGTCCAGGCGCAGCTCTGTAGGTCAACCGCGCTGGGAAAAGCGGTTTTCCTGTTGATAGATGTTGCTGACCACCGAGCGCAGCTAATCCTGAGAATGCAGCGTTGCCGAATCTACCTATTATTGATCGTCGAAAATGTCCGTGTTTACATTTGAACCCCTCCTCACTGACTACGGCTGAAGATGCCAAAAATCTTGACCGGTCCATTCGGAAATTGATGATGCTAATCAAAGGCGAGATCAAGAAATGATGTTCCTCCGATTGAATAATTCCGAATTTGTGGCGTAGATCTCTCGGGATATTGAGTAATTGCCGGAAAACTTATAAAGAGCACATTTTTGAAGGAACGCTCTTTTTCTCTCCTTCTATCATCATCGTCATCATCATCATGAAGCAGCAGATCCGCTCAGCGGATATCGCTCTCGAATTTGACCGGCTGAAAAACGATTACATCCTAGAGGCGGACAATAATGCTTCAAAGTCCCTCGAAGAAGCACGTACATTGCTTGAATCGCCGCAAACGCTGGAAAGACGAGACACTTTCAAGAAATCCCTTCTTCATTATGCTGCCATATTGAAAGCTGAGAAGACTGACGACAACGAAAGTCTAGCTAGCCCTATGGTCGGAGGCCGCGCTTGGGGAAGAGGGAGGGTAGGAGTCAACCGGGCATAGGCGAAGTTGGAGTATCTGCGGCCGCATGTGGGTGGCTGAAGAAGCCCAAAACACGCTGGCGATTGTCGTCGTAATAGCAGTTGTGCATCAATCGCTGAAGGAGCCCAGCTGAGTGAAGTCAGGCGGTTCTTCTGTTAGAGGATGTGTGTAGTGTGTTGTTGTCTCCTGGTGAAGAGTTTTCACTTGTAGTAACTAGGCCGCTCTCCCCCACAACATGACTATTTTTCATCCCCTCTTTTCGGGCGGGTCATAGCTTCTTCGTGCAAAGAGACTTCTGCAAAAATACTAATCCCCAGCACAACGTAGAGGGGCCTTCCCGCGCTGGGGTGATTGGTGACGTAGGTGCGTTTTCGGTGATCGCTCGGTACCCGGAAAAATCTTGATCCACATTTACCCAGGGGGTCAGGACCGGGAGTATTAGATCAACATAACTATCCTTCGAAGAGTATCCAGATTGGTTCTGAACCATTACGTTCCTTCTTGAGAAAATGAATAAGAAAAGAAAAAGAGTTCATGACGATAATTCAAGAAATTTCCCATCGGCAAATCATCGAAAACATGTGACAAAGACTAAGCGTGACCACAAACGTGGGAGGCGTCACCGAAAACCACACCATAATCGACACCTGAAGCAGGCAACGGAAGAGGTTGTCAGCGCAATTCCTGATGAGCATAAAAGGGAAGATGAGTCGACAACACTCAAGCTAAGTGAGGAACAGCGCACCTTGGTCGATCTTATCCTTCGTGGTCACAATGTATTCTTCACTGGATCTGCAGGTTGTGGCAAGAGTACTGTTCTTAAAGCATGCGTCAAGAAGCTCAGAGATAACGGGAAACGATTACACATTGTTGCTCCTACTGGAAGGGCTGCGTTGGAAATCAACGGGTGTACATTTTGGACTTATGCTGGCTGGACACCGTTCCATATGAGACGACCACTGCAAAGACTTAGAATGGAAGCACGCCGGAGGGAACAACTCTTGAACACGGATATCCTACTTTTTGATGAAATTAGCATGGTTGAGAATCATCATTTTGAGCGTCTAAATGCTATCATGCAGGAAGCAAGACACTCAGACCAACCGTTTGGTGGGGTTCAAGTTATTGTCAGTGGTGATTTCTGCCAACTGCCACCCGTCAAACCGTTTACATATTGTCTGCAATGTGGTCGAGAGACGATCAAGGAGATAGCTGGTACTATTCACAAGTGCCCGGTACATGGAGACTATTCGGACGAGGATAAATGGGCTTTCCGGAGCGACGCCTGGATGAGATGCAACTTTACATACGTTCACTTGGGGACGATTTATAGACAGAGGGACAGGGACTTCATAATTATATTGGAGAAAGTGCGACTAGGTAAACACCTAACAGAGAAGGATATAGACATGTTGCTCAACCACAACACGGATTTCGACACCGCCGTAAGGCTTTTTCCAACGCGAGAAGAGGTACGCCGTGTCAACCAGGCTGAATTCAATCGACTATCAACAGACAAAAGAGTATTCCATTCCAGTGACGTATTCGAACCCAGTACAACCTGTGACTCCTTGGGAATCAAGAAATACAGCAAACGCTCCCCGGACGGGTCTTTACACGAGTTGCGCGATCACAGGTTCGAATCACTCACTGAGATTAAGGAAGGCATGCAGGTCATTCTCCTGATCAACCTAGATATCAGTGCTGGTCTCGTCAATGGGTCTCAAGGAAAAGTTGTGGGTTGGGAGAGTTTTGAGTCTTATACTTTACGGCACGAAACAACCGATCCATCCAAGAAGATCAGGGACGATTGCATTATTGCACCGAACATTGTGGTCCCTTCTTTGAGGGGTGAGCATATAATGCATCGGGAGAAGAGTGTCGGCACTTTTATGCAAGAAGCATTCAGAAAGGAATGGCCAGTTGTTCTCTTTGATAACGGTATACAGCGGACTATCACCGCCGACTGTATTGTCAATGAGATTGGTAACGATGAACCCTGGAGCTTGCTATCACGGACACAAATACCGTTGCTGGCGGCCTGGGCAATGTCGATCCACAAGAGCCAGGGAATGACCTTGAACAAAGTGATCGTCGATCTCAGCAAGAGCTTTGAGGAAGGCCAGATATACGTGGCCTTGTCAAGAGCTAGCTCATTAGCGGGTTTGAAAGTCAGTAACATTGGCACATGGCGGCCAAGTGGAAATGAACAGGTCATGCAATTCTTAAAAGAGAAATTCGCCACAATGAGTAGCCATGGCAGGTGTGTTTCGGGTGTTTTGAGTGTTGCTATACAGCGGAAGGCTAACCCAGTTTGATTGGTTTTCTTTCTTAGGTGCTTGTAGCTAGTGCCAGACACTAAGCCTCTTATTGATTAGTATCACACTTGTTGTTGGCAGGACAGAAAACTTCTTAGCTGGCTAACCAAGGGAGCGACGGACGGGACGAACTGTAGCACACTTGCCCCTGGCGAGCACACTGGGTAACTGTTGTCGTCAGACAGTTAGGACGATGGATTTCTACCTTCTCGTGGTGTCCGGTGTCAGTACCCTCTCGCTGCGTGGAGGGGAAGCCAAAAAAATCCAGGTGGTGCGGGCAGGGCCGAGCCGCAGAGTTTTCCGTGGTAGCCGAGCCCGCCCAACCCACGAAAATCAGAGGAAAAGGGTTATGAAAACCATCCGACGACTGTTCACTCGATTCGTACTCGAGACCGACACTGGACTTGCTTTTCCAGCGGACGTGGTATCGCCTAAACAGGAGACAGGACACCTCTGAGCTTGAACGCTCTCTGAGATTGCGACACGCCCAGCAGAAGTCTTGAGAACATAATTTGAATATGCGTGGAGCGGCGAGGAGACTAGAACCAGTCAAGCAGTGGACAACGCGAGTCTGGAGAATGGGCGCCAACAGTTCCGGTTACAAGACCCTCGTTAAGGCTCTGCCACGGGCAGTCTTGATTGGAAATGCTGACCGTCTACTTCTCTAGGGGCGTGCGATCCAGCGACGAATCTCACGGAACTCGTTAAGGCGTAGCTACGGGTGCTCGGGAGGTCTGCAAAACTGGGGACACAAGCTTGGTTAGTGGAGGATGGTCGGAGTATCGCGCAGGGCTACTGGAGATGCTTCTAGTCCACCTCTGCAAGACACGGTCGGCTAGTCGAGAGAGATCTCGGCTAGTAACGCGAAGGAGGGAAACATTCCCTGTGGGGCGTGGCACATAATGGCAGTGACGGACAAGTAGAAAGAACTTGACGAGACTGTCTATGTG